ATCTCAGATAAGACCCTCCCTTTTTCAGTATGGGATAGGGTACTTCAACATATACAAGTGAAGTTAGATAAGTGGAAGTTCAAGTATCTTTCATGGGGTGGCAGAGTTACTTTACTTCAAGCATGCCTTTCAAACCTACCAATCTACATAATGTCGATTTGCCTAATTCCCACCTCAGTTGTTAAAATGATTGAGAAGATGATGATGGACTTTCTATGGGGGTCTACTGAAGAAGTAAAAAAATTCCATTTGATGAAGTGGGATAATGTTTGTACTCCGAAGAATGAGGGTGGTCTGGGTCTCAATCAAGCCATTGTGTGTGAATGGTGGTGGCATAGTTTCACTTCAAAGGATCATCTGTGGTATGAAGTTTTGGAAACCAAATAAGGTTTGGAAAGACATGGTATGTGGAGTGGCAATGATAAAAGTGTTAATGCTTCAATAGTATGGAAGGCTATTGCTTACTGTAAACCGTTCATAGCGAGAAATCTTTGGTGGAATATTGGTAATGGGGAACATATATCGTTTTGGCATCATACCTGGTTGGGGGACTATCTTTTAAAGTTGATTTATCGGAGGTCTTCAATGAGGTGGTTTATCAAGATGCTAAGGTGGTTGATATTGTTGAGGGGCGAGGTGATAATGCTGGGTGGTGTGTGACTTTGCGATACAATAGAATTAATGGGGGGGTCTTTGATCAATTTTGATCTCTAATGGAAGCTTTGGATAAGGTCTATGTCCCTTCAAATATGAAAAATAATCTTATTTGGGATGTAGAGAGCGATGGGATATTCTCAGTCAAATACTGTTATTGTCTCTTGTTCCATGATAGGTGGCGATGGTCACTTCCTCTGGTCTCAAAAGTTTGGAACTAGCCTATCCCTCACAAAATCCAAATATTCATGTGGTTAGCAACTCAAAACAAAACTCTTACCATTGATAACCTCATGCAGAGGGAGAAGATATTGCTTAATATTTGTCTGATGTGTAAAGAGGATGCAAAGTCAGTGGCACACTTGACTCTCCATTGTCCCTTTTTTTCTAGGATATGGAACCATTTATGTTCGTTTTTGGTCGTTCACCAGATGATGCCTCAACAGTTTGTAGGGGTTATCTTGGAGATGTCAATGCCTTATTTACCCAAGATTGAGACTGTTATTTGGACTATTATGCATGGCTTAGTCCCTTGGGAGATCTGGAAAGAAAGGAATAAACGTACCTTTGATGGTGTTTGCCTTTCCGTTGAGAGAGTTTTAGACAAAATCGTCTATTCTTGATGTTTCCATGGAAGGCAAAAATATTTTGAAGGTGGATGTGATCACGAACCTTCCAAATTTAATTTATGGGGGTGGTTAAAAGTAGACCAGTGAGTTTTTGGACTCCACCTCAACAAGGGGTTTTGAAACTAACTGTGATGGGAGTTCGTTGGGGAATCCAAGCTTGGCAGGTGTTGGGGGAGTTGGGCGTGATTTCCATGCAGGTCTGGTAGGGGAAGCTACAACAAATCATGTTGAGTTGGTTGCCCTTCTTCAGGGTCTCAAGATTTTGTAGAGTAAAATTTGGGCTTGTCTTGGCTAATAGAGGGAGATTCTCTGAATGTTATTCAGTGGTGCAAGAAGGAGCTGAAGGTACTTTGGAATATTGTCCCGATTTGATCATAGGTGTTGGATATTGTTGTTGATTTGTCCATTTCTTTTTGCCACTTTTATAGGGAGGCTAATTCTCTACCTGACTCTTTTGCTAAATTTGGTTATTCTCTTCCTCTTTTGATTTCTGATGAAGTAATCCCATTTGAGTTATTTGCAATAAAAGTCGGTAACATTTGTCAAAAACATAAATAAAATAATAACAATGCCTCATAGTTTTTTGGGGTCCTCTAGATATTTTTTGTGTGAGAAATACTCTTTTATTCTTTTTATCATGTGCACTTCGGTTAGGGGTGCATGCTACAAAATTCATTGGAAAAAGATTTATAACATAATAAAAAAAAGTATCAGCACCATTGGGTTGAGTTTTGAGGCTCAAAAGTTGACGTTGGACAATGTGATTAAAGCCATTTTAGCTGTCCATTCAGACGACGCTAAAAAACTAGGTTTCACATATGTGGGGATATTACATGTAAAGTTGGGTTGGGTTGGGTCAGGGTCCGGCAGGACGTGGAACCCGACTTGAAAAATATTTTGGGACCTGGACCTAGACCGCGACCTAGACCCAACCAGTCTAGCAGTTACTGGACTCGGACCCAGACCCAAAAATATAATGTGGGACCTGGACCTAGACCTGGAGCCGACCGAACCCGACAAAAAAATCGTAATATTTATGTACTTAAATATGTTTAAATGTATTTCATAAATTTGTTAAATATATGCATACATTATTTAAAAGAAAAACTGTATATAGGTGCAAACCTCTAAACAATTAAATTAGGGCGTACCTCAAAAATTCACTAAAAGAGGTTGTTTTGATGCCCAAATATCTTCAAATTGGTCATGTCGACCTCAAGATGCATGGACATGAGAAAAAAAAATGGATTTCAAGTTTTGGAAATAATGCATCTTGTAATGCATTTTTCGATCGTCAATTATCAAGATTTTGAGATAGATGAGTGACAAGACAAGAAGGTATGGAATCTGAAATGAATCCATTCCGGAAAGTTTAGGTAGGTTAACCATTTGTGACGTTGACCTAGTACAACACCTGTGAAGAGGTGTGAGTTAGTTCATGTGGAAGGTTTGAAAAGGGTAAAGGGTACGCCCAAAAGGATATGGTTGGAAGTAGTCCGAAAAGATACGGGGGCTTAAAACCTCACTGAGGGTATGTCATTAAATAGAGTAGAATGAAGAATCAGGATTTGTGTAGTTGTCCCCAATTAATTGGAATAAAGTTATGATGACGATGACGATGATTATGAATTATCAAGATTTTCAAGTTTTCATATATCTGCTCAATCTACATTATTTTTTAAGCTTTAAAATTTATAATTATAGATGAAAATATATTTTGAGGCTACAACAAGGATTTCTAATATTGAAACCACATTTTTCGACACTATTTGAATGTGCTCTTACTTTGGGTGTTTAGAGCCTCGGCCATATAAAAACCATACCCTTATTTAAAAATTTAACTAAAAATATATAGCTATAATTATTTGAATATTATTTAAATATTATATATTAAGCATTATTTGAATATAAATACTAGTCGGGTCGGGTTCGGGTTTGAGTCCATTGGGTCGGGTTTACATGGAGCTGGGCCTGACCCATACCTGAATTGTGCTCGGGTCCAATATTTAGACCCAAACCCGAACTTGGGTTAGGTCTACCCATTGGGTCCCGCGTCACGTCCGGGTCCATTGCCACCCTGCAAAGGTTTCTTTGATTTAAATAAGAAAAGAATTTATATAGAGCCAAGGCTCTAAACAATCAAATTAGAGTCCACCTCAAAACTTTCAGTAGAAAAGGTTGTTTTGACGCCCAATATCCTCAAATTGACCATCTTGACTTCAATATTCATAGACATGAGAAAAAAAAAAAAGGATTTCAAGTTTTGGAAATAGTGCATCTCGTAACGTATTTTTGGACAGTCAGTTTTCAAGACTTTCAAGTCTTTATAGATCTGCTTGATCTACACTATTTATGAAGCTTTAAGTTTTATAATTTCTCTAGGCTATCACATAGATCTTCATAAAGCTTTAAGTTTTATAATTTCTAAATTTATAAAACTTAAAGCTTCATATATATTTCTAGTATTGAAACCATATTTCTTGACACTATTTTAAGGTGCACTTTACTTTGATTGTTTATAGCCTCGGCTTTATACACACCGCACCCGTTAAATAAATGTGTCCACGTATCTAATATTATGGGTGTGGTTTGTATAGTGCCTAGGCTCTAAATAATTAAATTAGAGCCTACTTTCAAATAGTATCGAGAAATGTTTTAATACTAGCCATCTTTGTGATAGCGTTAAAATATAATTTTGTCTTTATTTATAAAGTCAAAAGCTTCAAAAATAGTGTAGATTGACAGATCTATGAAAACTTGAAAATCTTGAAAATGACGGTAAAAAATGCATTAAAAAATACACTATTTCCAAAACTTGATATCAATGTTTTTTTCATGTCCATACATCTTGATGTCGAGATGATCAATTTGAGGATATTTGGAAATTTTGAGGTAGGCTCTAATTTAATTGTTTAGAGCCTCCTCTCTATATAAATTTTTCTCTAATATTATTAATTTTCAATTGAATGTTAGATTTGATGCCCGCATTCTTTTTGCCATCTGTTCCTTGTTTGTTCCGTGTTTCTCCATTTCGTGAATCTTGTGTGTATTGGTGAGGAGCTGAATCGGTACTACTGAGATTTTGAGCAGCCCCCTCTCGTTTCTACCTCTATATCTGCACGCTTGATTTTCTCTTAATACTGTGTGGATCAATAAATTTTTTTTTGGATCAATAAAGTTTTTTTTCTATATTCCTTTTTTTTTTACAATAATTAGAAAAACAAGATATTTTTAAAGGATATTTTTCAATTCTCAAAGAGAGAGAGAGAGAGTTTTTGAGGAGAAACACATGAAAATAGAGAAGGGGGTTTAGAAATAAAAAAAAATTACTGTCTTGAATGTGTTTTGAACTTTGGTTGAGCTAAAAAGATGGGTCAAAAGGGTAAATTTTATCCAAAGAAATGAAACCTAAAAAAAAATATAAAGAGATATTTTTATGAAATAAAAATAACCAAAAATGATGAATTTTCAAGTTCCTTAGGTTGGATATATCAAACCCAAAGAACTTGAAATAAAAGAAGGTAGCGGGGGGTCCGTATTGGCATAAATTTGAGCAACATATATAGGCCAAACTGTACTAGTGGGGGAGAAACTATAAAGAAAGACAGGATGTCGCAATATTGAAACAATCTGCTTCTCAATTAGTGTCTCATGATCCTACTAGCCCAAGACTCACAACGACAAGAAAAAAAAGAACCAAATGAGGTGGAAGAAAAACTAATCTTTCATTCAAAGATGAAACATGGGGTATACAAAAGCATTCCAATCTCCACACACAAGATCAACCGTAACACATTTGATCCAGGGATACACAAAGGCATTACAATCTTAAAACCTAAAATTAACCTTCAACATGCGACCCAATCTTCGTTCTCATCAATTCTAGAATCTGGCACTCTAGCCGATCACCTCGGAAACGGGAGACTAATGGATCTAATCGATAAGAGAGAGAGAAGAGACTCAAAAATCACACAAGCAGAGAGCCTTATGAGGCCAAAAAGTTGTTCAGAAACCAGAGTACTTTCAAAGGCTTCTTTCTCTCTCAAAGTGAACAGACCAATGGGTGGATCAATGAGACACACAGACCCTAACTCTATTCCGGCCAGTTTCCGATACCTGGCCCCCTTTCGATCGATGCAAGAACCCTTAATTTCTCGTCAAGAAATTGGTCAGACGATTCAGATGGAAGCAGGAGCATCGATCTCAGCAGTAAGTCATCCACTTCTGCTCCGGCATCTAGATTGGCCAGAAAAAAGCCCGGTAACAAGATTCTTGACAGATTTTGGCAAGAAGGGCCATGTCACCAGGCCGAGGTGGGCACATGGGCCTGAGGCCACCGAGCCCACCAAGCCCTGTTAAGACTAAGGGGGTAACTGGTTTCTTGAACATGGGCTTGGAGTTATTGAAGGGGAGGAGAAGTAGTTTGGGGAATGGCAATGGTAAGGGTGGTGGGGTTATGTTGATAATGGATGAGGCAGGCCAAGACTTGAGGGTTTTGAACAACAGGTTGCTTCAATCGAGATTTTTGAATGCCAAGGCCCAGTTTTTGGTAGAGAAAAAGGCCATATTTGCCCAGGTAACTTTTCCTTACTTTTTCCATTTCAGAGAGAGAGAGAGAGAGAGAGAGAGAGAGAAATTGGTTTTATTAATCCATCCACTGGAGGTATTTGATTCTTCATCGTCCAATTAATAAAAAAAAAAAATATTTTTAGCACAAAGAGGTCCCACTCATTATTGTTCTTTGGATTTTCAATTGGGTCAATTTTGTTTTTAAACTTCGTGACACATTTCAAGCCATATAACGTAACATATAATTGTTAAGAGTAACTGTTATCTCTTTGTAAGAAAGATAAATAGTCTCACAATATACAATCCCATTAATAAATAAAGAGGAACAAAACCAGGACCATATATTTAATAAGATTATTCATTTTTGGCATAAGGGGGTCACAATAAATATGATAGATTGAAATGTGTCATAAAAAATGAGAAATTTAATTTCAGACTTTGTGTCCAATCGATAGTATATTGCCACCATTCGATCTCTCAATTAGCATTTAATAATAATTGTGACTCCCTTACTACTCCCTTAAAATTTTAATTTTTTGACAAATTTACACTCGATCAGATATTTCTGACATCACATCGTGTTTAAACGCCATTTTTTGAAGGTTTAACACGGTGTGATGTTTTTAACATCGGATTGCATTTAGGGGCTCATTTTATGAAGGCTTAAGGTGATGGTGTTAAAAAGAAAAATGAAGAAGGGGGAAACAAGGATCTCCACATAAATATCGCATATTTTTCAATTATCACGTTGAAGCGATTAAATACAAGCCCAGGTGTTTGTCTGGCAACTAAATTAAATTTATCCTATTGCAATGCCTAAGTGAGAATTTGTTGAATATTTTTGCAACTCGTTTTGTCTCTGTCCCATATTGAATCTTGCTTGTGTGGAGAACCCTACAAAATGGTGGCTAAACAAAAACATTAGCGGCAGAAAAACTTGTTTTTCCCAATATCATAGATTAGTATTCATAGGAATGATCATGGAAATGTACACGATAATGGTCACTAAACAAAAATATTAGCGGTAAAAAAACTTGTTTTTCCGATATCATAGATTAGTATTCATAGGAATGATCATGGATATATATATATGAAAAATCTTCTGAACGTCTATAGGCGAAAATAAACACTGATTTCGTCTACGCTCCTCACAGTCCAAAGTTCATCGCATGGTCACGATTGTCCGTTAGCGTTTTATTTTTCATTTTTTTCTACAAATCGGAATGACCTAAACTTTGGAGCATGTGTACATCTTAGTGAGACGCATCTAATAAAAATATAAAAAAAATAATTCACGAAAAATAAATTGACCAAAATACCTCTGAAACTTTTAGGGAATATTTGGTCAATTTTTTCATGTAAAGTTTTTTTTTGGATATTTTTCGTAGATTCGCTTATTTTTTACGAACACATACTCAAAATTTCAGGTCATTATGATTTGTAAAAAAAAAATTAAAAACAAAATACTACCAGATAATTGTGATCGTACGATGAACTTTGGATGGTGATGAGGGTAGACGAAATCACTGTTCATTTTCGCCTATAGGCGTTTTTTAGTATATATATATATTACTACAAAACAAATAGTACTTTTGACATCTCCATAAGGGTAAAGTTGAAATTTTAACTAAATAAAATTCGAGGACATTAACTTCCAAAACGTGATTGTAGTTTTGTAAAATTTTCAAATTTGCCTTTTTTTTAATTTACCTATTTAAATAAATTTTTAATAAAAAGTAATTATTGTTTGAATAAATACACTCATCACAACTCCTTCTAACTTGAACCTTTGTATTTTGAGGGGTTGTTAACTCTAGACAAACCATGTTGGGATTAGTCCACTAGCTCATGTGAACATATGAGCCCAACGGCCCTGATTGAATCTGGGCTGATTTGACGGTCACGACCTCATTTCATGTTTAAATTTTAATTTTTTCTCTACAAATCCAAATCACTTGAAGTTATATATATATATATATATATATATATATGT